CCCATTCAGGGTTCTTTTGTTCTCTATCCTTGATACGTTTCCTGAGCAGAGCCATAGAATCTCTAATCACCCCAGAGTGGTTAGCATAAAAGCAACATTCTTCTTTTAGGGCTGCACACAAGCCCCCTTGTTGCATAAGAAGGAGGTCAAGACCTCTTCTCTTCTATAAGGTGACCTCTGCTAGTGAGTTTAGGGATTGTTCTAATTTAGTTACAGACTGTTCCAGACTCCCGAGGTCTGCGTCAATCACTACCTGGAGGGCTCTGTAGTTTTGGTTCTGTAAAATTAAGGCCGAGGTGCTCACTCCGGTCGCTCCAGCTATACCTAGACCAATTAAGGAGGATAACGAAATGGCTGCAGTCCCTATGGCTCTCTTAGTTTTGAGGGCAGAAAGGGGTGCGTAGGCTAGCTCCATCTGGGTCTCCCCATAGTAAGTCATCTTGGGGAATAACTGTACCATGACACAGTAACCTTTTATGTTATTCAGGACAGTCCCGTCAATACAGGGGGGTCAAACCAGTAGAGCAAGCCCACCATCCAGAAGTGGCAGAGTAATAAGTACCATTTGAAACAGAGACTACATGGTTACATAGCCCTGAGGGTACCTGGGCACCAGGGGGCAGGGCACAGGTCCCTGCCCCAGTTACTCATTGGAGAAAAAGTGTTCCCTGTTGTCCCCAGGTGCATTGGTTACTACTAACTTGGGAGTAATTACCTACTACTGCTATGCCCACATAGAAGGCTGGCTGAGCTCAGACAAAGCCAGCACTCTACAGTTAGGTCTGGCTTGGAGGCATTGAGCACCTCGAAAGTGGAGGTGATCAGCGGCCAAATAGGGTGGTCTGAGGGTGAAGCTGTAGGTATCCCTGCAACTACTGCTGCTCTCTGAAAGACTGTTGTACTTTTCCTCAGAGGTGGGGGCTTAGGGCTGGGGTTGGATTCTAGGGGTACTAAAACCGGTTGGGGGTCAACACCTTGGGGTACCAGTGAGGTGGGGGTTGAGAGTTCTCAATCCCCAGGTTTTTCCTACCTCCCAGGTGGTGTCTCTTTTTCCTGCATCAGTAAACACCACCTTAACAGGATTGCAGCCTGTTTTCATAGGACATGTTCTAACTTTCCACCCACGATAAATGGCATCAGGGGTGTTGTTACAGACAACCTTGATAAGATCATCTTTAACGTGGGCTGTCCAGTAGATGTCCCCTGTACTCACACAGTCCCAGGATTTACAAAAATAATCACTGGCTCCCCCACATCGTTTTCCCCAGTCTCTACCTCTGCTCCCAGGACAGACATAGTAATAAGCATGGCATAGCCCCCCATGGCTCTGTCTGAGGAATAAGCATTGGAGATTGAAGCCTAGCTCTGGGTGCCAGGTGTTT